GGGTTTAGGGTGTAGGGCTTTTGGGGCCCAAAGAGCTGCTAAGTAGCTAGCAGCTAGCTGCTTTATTGATACTTGGGCCCTTTGGGCCTATAGACCCCTAGATCCCACACCCTTTAGACCCTTAACCCTTGACCGTAACCTTAAAACACTAAAGCAGCACCTCCATTGCAGCAAGCAGCGCGCAGGAGCTCCGCCAAGACGACGCAGCAGCAGATCTGGGCGAAAGAGGGGTTTGAGAAATGCTTAGGCAGGCCGGCTTTTATAAGGTTGTTATGTTTGTTGAGTGGTCTGTGATGAGTTTGTTACTCGGGCTTCTATAGGGTCGCATAGGTTCCTGAATTAGGGTTTACTGTAAAGTTTCATCGGTTGCTTAGTCTAGACTTTATTTGTTTAACTGTGTACGTTTTGACACTTTCTTCATGTGGTTTTGCAAGGTTCATCACGGACAACAATGCAACACTGGTTAATTCGCCAAACGAAATCACGTGCTATGTTCGTGCAACAGTTATCTTAAGGATTCTTAAGGTGCAGAGTTTTCGACTTTATGAAGTGCATGCCAAACAAGGCACCACTTAATCAAACTGTACTCGTAGTATAGAAATGTTAAACACTCTTGCGCTCTAGAACCACATTGCCTTGCAAAAAAAACCTGAAACCTAAACCTCAAACCCCAAAGCCATCCTAAGTCCTGAGACCTTCCGCTCAACCCATCGATCCCGACATATAGGTCCCAAGCCGAAAAAAACCCTGAACCCAAAACGAAACAACCAAGAGCCCGCAACATTCCACTCTCAGCCATAAGCCGCGTCCAGCAAACCTTGAATCTTGCACTAGACCCTATAAGCACAAGAACCAGACATCGTGAAGGCTAAACTCCGAACTCTAATAACTCAGAGTTTGCCCGAAACCCCAAGCTCTGAACCGTGAACTCTAAATTCAATTCGCCCTTATCAACCGTAGGCCCCCAAACCCTGAACGCCGAAATCTAACGCTTATCGAACTTCTAAACTGAGTCTGACATCGCCTCAACCCCCACCAACTGCAACGCGTCACCTTCGAATCCCTGAAACTCTTGTGAAACAAATGGCACCCGTATATGAACCTATAACCGCAAGAAGCTCTTGTAGACTCTTGTACAAGCGTTGCGGAGTGCCTTCTAACATCCCTAATGACCTGTGGACAATCCTTCAACCCCTCACCCCGAAACCTAAACCCTAAACCC